CAAAGGTCTGTGTAAAACCCTCAGCTTTTTTAACATTATTGTTGTTTTCAGGGAACATCTCTCTGCTGGATGCAGCCATTGCAGTGAAAGAAGTGCTCTCCCAGAGAGCAGAGATCTTAATGTGTTTATGAGCATCTAAGCTGTGGTACTGAAATCACGAGGGAAGAACTGCCCCAGGCCCGGTGCCAACATCTCCATGAGCACAGGGAATGATGATGGAGATGGGGTTCAGTAAATGCAAGGGTGAAATGTGGGTCTCGACTTGGGACAGGGAGCAGGGGTCCCACTGCGGGGAACTATGGTAGGTTGGTGATTATGAAAGCGCAGGAGAAATTAGAGGCATGGCTTCCTGTAGGTATGAAACAGCACATTTGCAGTGACCACTGTCTCATGATCCACCCTCGGCTCCAGCAGTGATAACAATGACTGTTGCTTATGCCCACGGTTGCTATTGCTGCTGCCAGCGCAACATAAACCTGGGAACCCCTGGCACAGGTTACAACCACAGGCTGAATTCCCCTTTGATACTACTTGAGCCAATGTGAGTTCTGAGAAAATGTTGCTACATGTCTCCATGACACATTGCTAAACAAGCACCTCTTATTTTGTACTGCCTTCAGTATAGCAGTGATTTCCATGTATGGTCCCATATGCAGTGCTCTGCAGCAGGGTGACTTGGAGTTGGGTAACTTGGCAGCACCAGTGTCCTTGGAGAAAGCTATATGCTTTTCTAGCCATATGTGAAACAACAGTACCCTACTCAGGGCTGTTTCTGGCTATCAGAAATCACTATGCAACAAAAACGCCACAATGAATCCTTTGTGTCTCAACCTCTCTTATCTAGGATAAAACAAGCAACTCCAAAGCCTTAAAACAGCCAGCACTCCCCATCTCAGGCTCTGAAGACAGCCTGGGCTTAGCAGGCAACCACCATGGAGTCAGGTTAGCTGGCTGAGCCAGGATATTACCCAGTGCTATCAGCGTGAAAGACTTGAAGGGCTGTTTTCACCACTGCTTTGACTCACCACAACATCACAAGGCATGTTCTCTTTCCCCTCACCTGCCACGAGGTACTTGCAGATCACAGAGGTCTCAGGAATGAAACGCTCCTGACAGCAACAGGGAATTCTGTGCTATTGCCAGAGCAAAAACCAGTGAGTGGGGAGAACTTGTGCTGGATCCCTGACCTTTCATCTGGGGGAAAGGCAACTGGCTTCAATGCCACGTCAGGCTCCCTTCTGTGCAGAGGGAACTTGGGCTTCGCAGTTTGCAAGCAGTCGTGGAAGAGTTGGGGTGAACGCACCGCTGGCAATGGAAAACCTCTCTGAAGTAACCAAAGAGCTTTTGCCATTCTTTCTAAAGCATGTCTTGTTCTCTTCCGAGAAACCAGGTCTGATGAGTTCAGCTGCATAGTCTCCTACCTAACCTAGCCTTCAGAAAGGAGAAGTCAGGGAAGAAAAAGCATCTACAGAAAAGGTGGGTTTGATGGGAGCTTACTGAGCTGCAGCACGTAGCATTTAGGAGATGTGATTATTTATGCTCTGGCTGTACTTCTGGCATTTCAGCAAGGATAGCAATGGTCCTTTCTTCTTAAAATTAGTTAATGTTAAGTAAGTTTTAACCTGAAATGTCTAACTTCAGAGAGGAGGAGGACTCCTCACAGCACTCACCAGCCAATCCTGAGAAGTCACCGAGAGCCAGAAGAACCATTTCTTCAGCTTGTCACACACAAATCCATCCAGGTCACGTGGAGTTCTGCAGTCTCAAGAGCTGAAGCTTAACTTCTGATTATGAGATATTTATGCCACTTTTACAAGCTACAAGCTACTCAAGCCTGACTATTCCAGCTTAAATGTATAAACGACATCCTCAAGTGAACATGCTATCATTTTTAATTTTTTTTAACCTACACACACGCACACACAGTTTGTTAAAAACTGAGAGCTTTTTGAGAACCAAGGGGAAACGTATTCACTAAAAGACTTACTAAACGTAGATTGTTTCCTCAGCAAAAATAATAACAATAGCAATAATAAGTAAAGAATAACAAATATTTCCAGCCAAACACAGACATATGCTCAGATTTTTGGGGAAAACAATTAGTTTTCACTTGGATTATTTTTTTAGGATTGGTTGTTTTTTTTTTTGCTCCTTGATGCTAACTGCTGTCTCCTCAGCCAGCAGAACACAATCAACTGCTGTTCAACAGAAGTTATGCTATAGCAACAGTATTTCGTAGATCTTATGACGCTTTGCTGTAACCTCAAGTTCTTCTGTGCACAGACATGTGCTTTGAAAGGAACAGCTGCACTTTATCCACATCTCTTTACTTCACTGTCATGCCAACAAGAAAAAACTTGAAGGGAAGCATGTTCACTAAACCCACTATGAGAAACACAGGCGCAGAACAAAGCAGGAGACAGCAGCCAATGCCAAGTCCTCCAGCACACAGGGGAAGGGGACGAGAGCACCCTGGGCATCCCCACCCTCCTTCCCTGCATGATTTTAGGGCAATCCTTAGAGTCTCCTTCCAGCCAGCCCCCGTGCAGGGCCAGGACTGGGGCAGGAGCTGCGTAAGCACCGCACACACCAGAAATACTCATCGATCTCCCCCAGCTGCAGCTCGCCCCAAGCCTTCAGCCAGTAAGTACCCTATGGTACTGCTCAGCCCATCAGAAAAGGCACTGAAGAGCATGACTGTAGAGTCATTCTCATCCCAACACTGCATGTTTCACACTGTTACCACACAGCTCAGATTGCACAATGACAGCCAAGCACAGGAGTGACTTACCTCAAGTGAAGTTCACAGGCCTAGGATGAGACTGCCTCGGCCTGCCCAACACTGCAGCTCCCTTCACACCACTGAAACTGTTTTAAAGAACATAAAAAATGGGTTATCCCATTCTTTGGGAATGTCTTCTTTCAGGAAAAATGCTTCATTTTTAAAAAAAATTTTAACTAATTCTGCACAAGACTGATAAGTGGAAGAGCAACTCCTGTGCAGCCATTGTTACTTACATTGACTCAGCTGGAAGGTGATACCCAACTGAATGTTTGAGAACAGGATCTTTCTCAGGGCTAAATGGTGAAAGTAAGGTACATCCAGCCTGGCTGACTTGCACCTATGTCAGCGCCCAGATTGCTCTACTGGAGGATCTGGTGCCTTCCAGATGCCTAGGTTTATATTCTGTGTCTCCACCAAATTTATTCTACCTTTTTGTCAAAGACCAGAGGAAAAGGGTTTGATCCACTTGTTCAGTTAATCAAAAGTTTATTTTAACATTTTTTCTACTCTTTTCTCCATGGCAGCTGCATGTATTTTCAGCAGATCCTTGTTTGCTGCTGCTTTTTGTGGAGCTCCTGACTGGCAGGTACGGATGACTGCCTTGCAGCTTGCTGTATGGCACAGGCAATGGACACTGTGCATTCTGAATGCCAGGACACCTTGCTTCTTCCTCAAGGAGGAAACAATAAAGCACTCACTTCTGAGTGAGGCAGCAGCTCCTACCCTTGCAGGAATTCAGAGGGAACCAGGACCTGCTGCCATCCCAAAGGTGAGAACCACTATTGAAGCATGGAAAAGAAAACACGTCACTTTTGGAATCAGCCTCTGGCTTGCACTTTCCCCTTCACTGTGGCCCTAAGAGGTCAAACTTCTTGAACAAAGTGAAGAACAGCCCCCTCCTCCTCAGAGCTGCAGTCACTGGCACACCATGACAAGCTGTGTGCTCTCTGCCAGGCTCGGTGAGTGCTTTCCTCACCACAGCGCTGCTGCACACCGTGCCCCCCTGAGCACCACAAAAGTTCTGTGCACAGCATGGCTTCCTAAGCCAGCAGAGTCTTGCTGTCTGATCTCATGGAGGCTATCAACCTCAAAAAAATAGTAGAGGTTTCATCTTTACAAGTTCTACAAGCCTCACTGTGCTCAGGTGCTTTGCCTTCCTTTGCTTCCCTGATTAATCCTCACCTTACAGATGTGACCCTACCGCTCAGAGCTCAGGTTGGCAAGCCAAGCCAGCCACAGGCTGCCTGCCTGCAGGAGCCTCTGGTGGCACAGAGCAGGGGCTACTCACACAGACATGAGGGCAGGAGGGGTTCTGGCTGCAGTCGATCGCTTGCTGCAGAGGAGTTTTAGCTCTGTGCATCCGAAGGCCATAGGACACACTGCATCCTGCAGCACAGGGAGGCTCTTTCTGGGAAAACAAACACGATGTAAAGCCCTCCTGGTTTTATGTCTCAGTGCATCTTTCAAGCTACAAAAGTAAAACAACACCAGACCAAATGAGAATTGGGATGCTTTCATGTGAGGTAAATTGCAGCACTGCTCACATTGCATAAGAATAGATGCCCAAGTTTATGGGGCCACAATATTTAACTTCAACTAAGGAAATAAGGACCTCAGAGGTCCTTATTTCATCACAAATGTCTGAGGTAATATTTGAAACCTGGGACCGCCCTTCTAAACAAAACACATTTGCCTAAAAAGCCAGCAATGTCATTTAATGAAAAGAAGATGCATGTGTATATTGCCATTCCACTGCCACAGAATGGAAATGGGAAACTTCACCATACAGTCCTTGCAACTGTTTACTTTCTTCTGAAGGGATTTCTCCTTTATCAAAGCTTTCACAGTGCCCATTTTCCTGCCCTGCTGTAAGTGGATCACTGTTAACCTCATACAATTTTTTTGTTATTTAAAAATTTGTACCATAGAATCACAGAATGGCCAGGGTTGGAAGGGACCTCAAGGATTATGGATCTCCAACCCCCAGCCACACACAGGGCCACCAACCTCCCCATTTAATACCAGCCCAGGCTGCCCAGGGCCCCATCCCACCTGGCCTTGAACACCTCCAGGGATGGACGGGGCATCCACAGCCTCTCTGTGCAGCTGTTCCAGCACCTCACCACTCTCATAGTAAAGAACTTCCCCCTGATATCTAACCTAAATCTTTCCTCCTTAAACTTAAAACCGTGTCCTGCTGTTATCTACCTTTTCAAAGAGTTGAGCTGTACTTGAGCATATTATTTTTTCATAAACTCTCTCTCATATTCTCTACCTCCTACTAGACGAGAAAGAACAAAAATGTTCATCTCAGCTACCTAATAAACATAAATGCCTTCTGCAAGTCTGAACCAGGCTAAGGAACAGATATTCCACACGGATAAACAGAGTGCCAAATGATTTAAGATGCAACAACAGCTAAATGCAACATGGAATGCATTGGTAAAATTACAAATTAGCATTAATGCACAATCAATTCAACTAAAAAGGGAAGATAATGTTACTGTGAAGAACGACCTTTTTTAGTCAATGAGAAATCAATGATTTAGTTCAACAGAAGGGGAAACACTAGGAAAGGAAATATATTCATATTTCAGAGAACTTTGCAATTAACTGCAACACTGAAAATGAATATTAAGTATAATTCTCCACTTCCTCCTTGCTTGCATGAGAACAAAGAGTGCTCAAATTTGGAATAAATCCGTGCAAAGTTAATACTGCCCCATTTTGCCAGCACAGTTTCATCCTCATCAGCACTGTCATGCTAATTAGAACTGATTCATTTGCTTTTTCCTTGTGGCACTGTGCCTCTCTGCTACCCTGCCAGTGAGGAAAGGAGTGAAAAAATCAGTGAAAAAATAATTCATATCCACGTCAAGACAGCTGTTCTCTGCCAGACAGTTTTGCACTACTGCAAGCTGGGCCTGTGCCCAAACTGTTGTGGGTGCTCTTGTCAGGAGCAGTAGCAGAATCCAACAGACAGACTTTAGAAACAGAACACTTCCAAATAATTCAGTAGTCATGTTTTTGGTGTCACTTCAGAGAATAAAACATAGAACCCAACCTATTTGATACTAAACCTAAACCTAGCTGCAGTGTGTTACAGTGTAAATATATCTCTCGGAGATCCTTCTGCTAACATCACTGCAAAGGCCATGAGCAGGATGTGAGCAGCTGCCTCTAAATGAGATGCCTGTCAGCAGACAGGAGGATGGAGACAAGCCTCCACGTGAGCCCATGTGATCAAAGCAGGTAATCCTTCAAACCCTCTCTGCAGACATTTTATCCCAGTGGGGCATTCAGGCCATGAGTCACTTGCCATGAGTCACGCTCCCACCAACTCCTCCCAGCAGCATTCAGGTGGAAAATTACAGGTGTGTTGCAGACCAAGGTTGTGAAACGGGTCACTGTGTGCTGCGTGTCAGACACTTCCTACAGGTGTCCATCTGAATGGCTCAAGCATGGCAAAGCTACAAGCACTCTGGAAAAGTTCTTAAAATGAGCACTACACCTTTGTGCTAACAAGTTAGAAGTCTATCACAAATATCATTGTGATATGGCATATTTGCAGCTAAACTTCACTTTTACACTGTCTCTTTCTAACCCTGTGAAATGAGAAGCCAATGTCTCACCACTTGCAGGGATGGTTTAGCACTGCTCCTTCTGGCCAGTGGCAGCACAGAAGAAAAGGTCTGAAGAGTACGATCAGCAGGAAGGTCAGTGTAGTTGCTGGTTTGCATGGGTCTTCTCAGGGCATTGCACAATGTTAGCCTCCTTCAGGTGGATTCCCTCACCAAAGCTTGGCACTACTGCCTTGAATATGGACTGCTGCATCACACCAGTGTTCCTTCTTTGTCTTTCTGGAATATTCAGCTATGTTTAAATCAAAACTTTGGGCAGCAGAATGCAGACACCCTTGCATTCAAACGTTAAAAAGAAATAGCACACTTCATAATCCTACCTAGAAACGTGGACATTAAGATTTAAATCCACCTCATAGCTGGCGAGGCATCACATTGTCTCCAAATGGTCTTCTACAAGGACCACAGAAAACAGAACCTAGCCATGAAAGGAGAAAGACAGGGTAATCCCCATTTCCTGCAGACCTTCTTCATCATTTTATTGATCTATCCTCTAACACGATCTGCCCCATCTTTTCATCTGTTGCATCCACACAACAAAACCGCAAGCAGTGGTTGAACATTTTTGAGCACGGGAGGCCTTCCACATCCAAATTGCCAAGGTTTGCTTACTGGCGTATTGCATTTTGCACCAACTATAATTTAGTTCGAGAACAGGCTCACAGCAACTTGTTTTGAACCAATTCACAGGGATGTACAGCGTTCTGTCCTACCACGCTCCCATCGGCCTCACCAAATGGTATTTATAATTCCCTGGAACTGCATTGCCTTTCACGGAAGGCTGCAAGGTCCAGTCCATCAGGTGCTGGAATTCTGCAGGGCAGGCGCAGCACCGGGCTCCTCATGCCTTGTGGATGATGGCAGAGCTGCTTTTAGTTCTTAACCTTTTCTTCACGGCAGCAGGAAACCATGTCAGCGCAAGTAAACATGCTGCACCGGCACGAAGAGCAAGCCCAGCTGCCAAGCTAATTGTGGAGACAGGAATGGGTACTAGGAGGGTAGGACGGGAGGTGGGGTGCCTTTTTTATTAGAGTTGTTCTGATGCCCTAAATGCACCAGAAGGAGTGAATGTATCTTCTCACATAAAGACCCATTATGCAGGGATTTCATTTTTCTGATGGAAAAATCTAGGCAATTATAAATAGGAGCATTCACATTACAGGGAAATTCTAGCTAGGCTTTTCAATAAATCTCCTGCAACAAATTCCAAATTCAGCCAGCTTCTTCTATCTGAGCTCATGTGCACACTGCAGGATTCGATACTTCACCCCTCATTACCTATAGCCAGACTGAAGTCAATGCAGCAAGAGGTGAAAAGGCTTAAGAACCACCTCTTAGCAATAACCCTCACCACAGCCACAGGTAAAGGGGAAGACTGAAATGTATTTCATTTCACTTAAACTGTGAGGGAAAGAAGAGAAAGAATGGCAGAAGAAGGAAGGAAAACAAAAGCAAAGAAGTAGAAATTTGTATGTAGACGGGAGAGTCCCAACTATCTCCTGCTTTAGACTGAAACAGAACACACAAGCGAATTTGTGGAAGTTCTTAGAAGAAGGAGGAGTCATACGATTGTCCTTGAGTCTTTTATTTTCTTAGTGAGCAGCACTTGCCATTTTCATCTCCTCCATTCACTAAAAGAGAAGATTGTGGGGGTTCTCAGCATGTAGTAAGCTACTTCCAAACACCTCATAATGCTCAGGCAAACATCCTCAGGCTGGAACAGAGGTATACTTGTAACTGAACAGTTTTGGACAACTTGGTACAAAAAAACCCATGTCTTTATGAGATAAGGAGTCTCTAACTTCATTTTGGAGGTATTGCAGGAAAAGGAGAGAATGGAAATCTGTTACCTGCAGACCACACTTGTGTTGGTCCTTCAAGGTTTCCCTTCTCCCTACAAAATTCCCTGTTGACTCATGATCATTTGAAAATCTAAGACCCACATGCTTTAATGGGCAGCAGGCAAGGGAGACTGGCCACTTCTGAAAGACCTATGACACTTCACATCGTCAGATACGAGCCTGTTCTGGGAAATGGAATTTTTATACTCATCATATCCTTCCAATACATCAACTCCATCCATTAATGGCAGCCTTCCAATGATCTGCTTAGCTTTATTGCTACGCCAGGATAATGCAGGGGAACAAATAACTAAAGTCTAATAGTAACAGAAAAATGCTATGCAAAAGCAAACTCAGCAGAGCTGCACCATGGATACTGTGGCAAATTTCAGAGGAGCAACAGATTTTTCTTTTTTCAGAACAGGCAACAGTGTTCCTCCAGCTTTTGCCCATCACTCCCTGATGCTCTCCAGATCTGCAGCCAGAAGGAAGGGGAAGTAAGTTGTTTCTCTGCCTGAATGTTCACGTCTCATTATGAGCTGAAAAACATACTTGTTCTGCATGCTGAAAAACATACTTGCTCTGCATGCATACTTCCTTCATTCACGGTTCTGTCCAGTAACATCTAATTTTTGTCTTCTTGCATTCTTTATCTCAGTTCCAAACTGTTGTCATTTCTAGGAATACCTTTCTGTATGCCACCACTAAGGGTTGAATATTTTGTTTTAGTTAGCTGATTTTTGCTTATCTACTTGCATTTTCCTCTCATTTTCTAGCTTGAAAACTTCAGCTTGCAATATAAGCGAGCATTCCTCAGCTCTGACCCAAGGCAACAGAGCAGTTGTGAGAACACTCCCAAGAAATGACTTCATTTTCTCTCAACCAAAACATTTTCCCACACTCCCAAGCAAACCTAACCAAGACGGTTTGCAAAGGGGTCCTAGTATCATCTCTGACAAAGGCAGTTCTACTAAACTTCCTTCTGAAATTTCATGCCTAAAGGCTGTCAGGAAAAGTTTCCACCAAAATTGTAGGCATTCCCAAAATATGTCCTAGAACATATTTTAATCCTTAATGAAAAGAAATACACAGAGATATAGCATATAAGGAATGATGGAAACAGACAAAGCTACCTTACTGCAGCCACAACACAGATCTGTGCCAGAAGGGAACAGAAAATGACAGCAGCTGGGAAGTGGAGATGGAAAGTTTACAATTGCATCCTACTCTGCAGGTTTTGCTTCTGCAAGATGGCTCTACCTTCAGCCAGGTTGGTGAAGTCTCTGTCCTCAAACACTGGGATACAGCCAGAGCTGTCAATCTGCATAGCTCAGCTACCTTGAAACTCCCCTTGTCCTGCAGCTGACTTGTAACTTGGCTGTTGGTTCTCCATTACGGCTGCTGACTGCTGCAACTTGCTCTCTTGCCCAGACCTGGGGATTGGGCCATCTATAGCACTGGCATGCATAAAACAGAATGAGACTGCGTCAGAGATTTAATTTACTCTCTGCCTTCTTTGCTCCTGCAGGCTTCTCAGGTTCCTTCGGTTTCCATTTCTCCCTTTGAGACACTGCTCCAAAATCTCACTCCTCTAGCGGCTCAAAATCTAATTTTCAGGCTAAGTTTATTAATAGCAAATTTGTACCAATTTGTCCTTCTGCCAGTATTGATCTTTATTATAAGACCTCTCCTTCCCCTCTAGTATTTACTTTGCAATGAAGTGTTTACAGAGAGACATCACATTCCTCTTCCAGTCTTTGTTTTGCTAAGCAAAACAAACCGATCTCTTTTAGTTTTCTCTCATCTGCTGAGCTTTCTGGCCCTCACTCACCCTCTGAGCCCTGCTCTGCACCTGCTCCTATGTAAGCATACTTTACTGACAGAACCATACACAGTGTTCCCAGCACTCTTGAATCTTGGTTTTAAACCTCCCTGTTTGTACCAGGACAGTCTCCTTGAAACCACCCCTGCAAATACATCAGCCCCAATACTTATCCATCATGTTTCTTCCCTTATCAAAGTTCCTCTGCTGCCCAGCTGCCTTCATAGCACCCAGCTCTTTCCCTGTTCTCACTCTGCTAGCACCCAAGGCAGATGGCTCCTGTGTGGGCAAGACTCCCAGCTGCTGCTTGCACTTGGTCCCAGTGTCTCTCTGTGCTCCTGCAGAGCTCCCACACTGTGGACTAGTTATACTGCTCTGCTCCCTGACTTTGAAGCAGCAGATTCTCACAGAAGATTCCCCCAGTTCCATTTCTCCTGGGCCTCGTTCCCCTGCTGGTAGGCTTTTCTGCTCACCACCAATTGCCTGCACCTCCTACAGGTCAGCCAACATTGCCAGGACCAGTGCCCCATCAGGGCCCCAAATCTAAGACCTCTGTCTGACTCAGAACTACGCAGCCTTTAACCAGACTCCAGAGCTCCAAGACGCAGATGAACCACCCATCCCAAACGGCCAGATACATCCACTGAAGCTCCCTAGTTGCCTCAAGCAACAGGGAAGTTCTTTTTTTAATGTGGGCCACTTGTCCCCATGTGTCCCTACAGACGAATAGCCAGCTCCCTATTCAGGGGGAAAAATCCTGCTGATTTCATTACATTGGGGTTTCCCTGCAGTTTCTGTTACTGTAACCTGAGCTGGGATGTCTCTGATCGCAGCCTTTAGCCTGGCCTTTCCAAGGCTCGCTTTGAGCACAAAGAGACAGAGAGCAAAAATGACACACAGAGCACAGGTTAATAACAAGCAAAGGCATTCTCATACCTGCATAAAGTATCAATTTGAATGCAGCTAAACCCAGATCTTAGCTTAGGGAACAAAGAATTCCTCTGTTCTCCAAACCTTAATCTAGTTCTGCGAACTGATGCGAATGGGGACATCTTGTTGTCTTGCGGACATAAAAATCAGATGAGCACGCTCATGGGAACTTGCCCAGTGCTATTTCAGTGGCACGGTTCCAGGAAGTGCCCTCATACCCTGCCCTCATATGCTGCTCCCAGATCCTTGCCGTAATAACAGCCTTAAGGCTGCATAGCATAAACCAGCTCAGAAAATCTGCCCGTTCTATAATAACTCAGGAACTGCCACTCATCTTCTCATCTCTCCATCTGCAACAAAGCTGTCAGCTTTTTTTTATTTCTGACTTCTGGAGAGCCTAGAATTCCCTGTTAGGTATGGCTTTTTTTTTTTTTTTTTTTTTCCCCCACTGATACCAATAATAAAAATGAAAAAAAAAAATTAAATTGGTGCAGTGTGGATGAACATGGCAGCTGCCTTGCTACAGGCAGACCGGTTTGGGCAGCATATTGCTAACTGTCTCCTGCTTCTCTGCTGAAATACTTTATATCTTGTTACTACTGATGTCTGGACTGTACATTGTCACTGCAATCCTCTGCCATGCCACAGCCCTCACAGAACTGCTCTTCTACCGTGGATGCTACTCCCAAAGCAAATGTTTGCTTAAGACAAACAAGTAATCTGTCTCTACAGTATCAGTTTGTTTCAACTATATGGCATAACAACCTCACAGATTTCATCTGAGATTGATAAAGTTTTCACCTGTGCTGTGAGCCACACTACAATTTGGTTTCCCAACCCGTAGCCTCCCACCATTGTCTGCAGTGATTACTGCAGAAAGGCAACCAGAGAAACACTCCTCCACATGAGCAACAGAAGCTCATCCGCTAGGCATCACTTCCAATGTAAAGTGTAACAGGGAAGGAAACTAGGCAACTGACAATTCTGAAGCTTCCCAGTTAACATATGCTATCACCCCTGCTCCAGCCTCCCCTGTTTTGTTGGAACACATCTGCACTGCTTGTTTGGGCAGCACCTCAGCAAAGAGAAAGAGGCATGACTATGTTTGCTATTTGCCCTGTGCAGGGAGAGCAGCGGGATGGCAAAGGCCCATCAGCAAGCTCACACTGTCCTTTGCCTGTGTGAGAGGCAGGAAAGATGGCAGCTGCTTGAACAGCATGCGCCTGTGTGGGAGCCAGAGAAGAGCAGCTTGTGCAAAGAAGGAATTTTTAGGACTTTCACTATGGAGATTTGGGTTTGAGTCCTGATGAGAAAGCTAAGTACTCTGTATTCATGGTGTGAAGATGCATAACAAACACTCACTACCTTCACAGGGACAGAGGCAACTAGTAAAAAAAAAAGCACCACCAAAGTATTCTGATGGGAAAAGCTTCTTTTAAGAAGACATTTGTTTGATTTTATAAAGAGCATTGATTTTGATATAAATGTTCCTGCCAAAGCTACTTGGAACAGCTTTGCTTCTGGCAGCTCAGAAGCTCTATTTCAGAACATCCAAATTGCACATATTTTATCCTGGAGGTTTTTATACCACATATATCATTACTGCCTTGCCCCAACATGACAGTTGCTGTGGAATATTTCATCTTCTTTTAGATGATTAGATAAATTGCATCATACTACGGAACAAAATGTTACCTGCTTTCTTAGATGAAGATGTTCCTGGGAGTCATAATGGCCCCGTCAAGCTTTCATTACATAGCAAACAATGGACTTCCTGTTTTAGGGAATAAGATAAGATGTTTCATTCCTACTATGTAGCAGCTGATCTTATCAATCAAAAGAATGTTTTCCTACACAGTACACATACTATGACTATCAGTGCATACTTAGCAAATCAGCAGTGAGTTGTACAACAACTTAAAATGGATATAATTCAAAATGAAAATTCAGAAATCACAGAGCAAAGCATTTCTAAAATCAAAATCTGGGATACAGCCTTCTCATGGGAAATCGAAAAAGTGAACTATTTAATTCTGATTAAAGAAGGGGAAAATAAAGAACAAACAAGCTTTAGACTGACAGAGCTTCCCAGAAAGTGGCAGTTCTGAGTTAGGGCAATGCATATTAATTTTGAGAAGCCTGAACAGGGCTTTTTTGTTAGGGACAAAGTCTGAGAGGATCAGGATGGAGGGGACTCTGCAAGGACCCACAGCAAGGATGTGGGAGGGTAGGCCCAGCAGGACGTGAGTGCATCAGGGCTGAGCGCAGTTTTGGTGGAGGAGTAAGGCACTGCTGGGTCAGAAGAGCACAGAAAAGGGCTCCTTCAGCCAGAAAAGCAGCAGCTCAGTTCTTGAGGGAAGTGTCATGCTCCTGTGTAGGACAAACGCTGGGATGCTTGAAGTGCCCACACGAGTTTCTTCACCACTGAGACACCTCCTAGAGGGCTCCTTGAGAGTGGGCACACCATCAGCAGCAGGATGGTGCCTCCCAGGCACTTCTTGCTTTTCCAGACTCTGCACGAGAAGAGGACCTGCTAGCAGGCACCAGCTGTTGCAGACTGGGGCTGCAAGCAGTTACTGTTGCCATCAGGGTACCAGCAACAGCCAAATGCCTTCATCTTTAAATTTCGGTGCCCATGACTCAGGCCCCTTCATGCTCATGACCTATCCTGGCCTTCTCATCCTGGCCCTTCTTAGAAATGATGTTATTCAGTTGCTAAATTAAATAATACTTAACTAATATATTTATCCTGATTTTTAGAAGTGACAAAAGCAACCTGTTCAAAGACAAACACTTCACTCACTATCTGTGCCCCTTTTCTTTACCACATAGGCAATGATGGATGGAAAAGCAAAAATAAATGAATAATTAACTGCCTTCACAATCTTGGCTTCAACACTGGTCAATAGAGCACCTGGTTGATCCCCGAAGTAAGACAGATGATGTCTTTGCTGGGCTTATGGAACTTATCCATGGAGTTTATTGCACAATTCAGGATCTGCATCACAAATGTGTGCATGTGTGTCACTGAGGCGGAAAAGGTTATGATGCTGAACAAAGGGCTGCTGTCTGCTGACACAAATGAGACTAAAAACTCACTGACCTGGAAGCTGAAGTACAAAAACTCCTGAGGGGCCTGAGTGCCTCCTGTCCGTACACATTAAATGAATAAGTCTTGTTTGAGTGCAGGATAGCCTTAATCTGCAAACAAAACACATTATAGCAGCATGACTTTTATCCCAGCAAAGCCCATCAGCCACAAAATCAGATGAAAGGCGTTGCAGGAGTAAAGTGCATTTTAGAGTGGGATTTTTCTGTCACAAGCTCATTCCAAATTATCTAGCATAAGGAAATTCACCCATGGAAGCCAACAGTGTTGGCACAGGGAGAGTTACACAAGACACTGGCAGGAGAAATGAGTACTGAAAGCTTAGAGAGAGATGGAACAACCTGTGAGAACAGCTTTTAAGCACTATGGCAATACAAACACGCTGTGCTTGGCTTGCAAAGGGTCAGAGGAGGACTTGAGAGAAGCAGCAAGCTCAAAGTCAAAAGGGATGGTGAGAAGGTCATCCTCAGTGAATGGCAGTGGAAAAGGAGAAAAGTCTTGCCAGCTTCACAACCTCAAGTCCCAAGGAAAGGCTCAAATCAATGAGGGGATCCTTGTTTCACGGAACACAAACACTGCATAGCACCAGGTGGGCCAACTTCAGCCCAGCTGGAGCATGCAGGGCAACTTCAACTGAGGTCAGACTTCAGCTGCCTACTCTGGATTTACAGCTGGATCATCAAAGCCCAACACAAACCTATGTGTATTTCAGACCAACAGTAAGGATTTTGCCATTAGAAGGCACTGGGCAACGCTGCTTTTGTAGCAGCTCAGGCTGCTAGGTTCAGGACTCCACTGCAGCAGGTGCTTGATAGCACACTGTGCCCCACAGAGCCCACGTTGTAGCACACATACAAACATAGGAGACAAGCTAACTGTCAGGAAGAAAGCAGCAGGTAGGCAGCTGAAACTACATCAGCTAGCACCAAGGGGAAATCCAAATCTTTCACTAAGAGTTGCTCAAGATAGCCCACTAAAAACCATTTGTCTCTCATACACTCACAATTAGCACTGCAACTGGTGTTTACAGGAACTCAGGCAAGCAGCATCTTTATGCCACACTGAGAGCAGTGCTGTGCTTCTGATGGAACGAGGCTGCTCAGGGTGCCATGCTCAGTTCACTGCTGCACCGTTGCTCACTGTGGGCCACCACAAAGCCATCCACATTGCAGAAGGGGTTCCATTCACCCTCTGACATGCACACATTAAGCAGAGATGCTCAGTTTGCCTCCTGTACAAAGCCAGTACCTTATGGACACTCAGCTCTGCACCTGTGCACTTCATTTCAGACTAGCAAAGCAGGAACTTGGCAGCACAGGCCATCCCTCCTATAAGTCTCAGCTTTGTTTGACCACAGTCTTTCTCAAGATATCTTCTCTAGATGGATCACAAAGTGGTTTGGTCTCCACTTCCTCCTCCTCCTCCATCACACCCAGCATTTTTGCATGCCCACGTCCTGCAGCATTTAGCAATGACTCTGCAAGTGATGCAAACTGAAAATTGCCCTCATGCTACATCTGAAGGTTGAGGCTCCTCAAATCAAACACTTCTCAGGCCACATTCTCTCATCTTTTATTCAGACAAAGAGAAAGGAATAGCAATAACTGCTTCCAACTCTCAAGGCACTATCATCCTCCCAGCTGACAGCTGTGATGGTTATACTGTTTAAAAGAGGATAAGAAGCAGTGAAGTGAGAAACAAGTCCAGTGAGGTTGCCAGAAGTGTCAGTAAGAACAGTTGAGCTCTTTTCCATGCCATTTGCATTGGTCCTGGATGTTTAGACGGTAGACTCTTCTTTGCCATACTGCAAATTCTTCACCATCCTGCAGTTCTAGCCTGGGAGACGAGAATCGGTTTCCTGATGCTCCACACCATGGGCAGGATGATCTCAGAATACGTCAGCTGTTCACAGAAGAAAGAATAAAGGCTGAGACTACTTAAACAAGCTGAAACCAGATCAGGTACTTAATGGGGATGAGGTACTTTCCTCCCCAGGCATCAGTTTGTTTGCAAACTTGTTCTAAGGCTTTATATCCTGTGGTAACTTTGCTCATGTAGCCACGTTTATGGCTGCAATACTGCAACTGAAACTAGTTTCTCGTTGATGCCTGTTCTCAACAAAATTGTATGAGCATGCAAGACAAAGAAAAGTGACTTTTCAGGTTTGCTGAAAAAGGAAAAAATGTGAAAGGAAGAGATGAAGATAAAGACCTTTAGAGCTATGAAGCTGCTATTTAAAATTGCAGTTCTGATGTGAACCATGTACAGTAGACAAACCATGGAGACCACGTGTGGAAGCACTGCAGCAATGATGTATTTCATCCTCCTGTACTGCAAAAGCACCACTGCCTGTTGTGAACAGGATGCAGACCTAACTTTCTCAGCACTCTGCAGCAGGCTCGTTTGCCTGGGTCATGCTCTTATCATGCTCAGAGATGCACTTGTGGAAAATCTAGCAATGGTAACTTTGACTTACTCCCACATCCTCTGGTTTTGCACGAGCATTACTGAAAATAAGCAAAACAAACCTGATTGATCAGGCTGTAGCACAGTGCTGTTAGCTCATTCTCTGGGTATGATTGAGGTGAATACCACAGGACAGTCACAGAGCTTTCTACAGTAACCAACTACCTCACTTCCATGATATGAGGCACTCTTAAAATATTCTGAGAGAGTAAAGTGGTATTTATCCCAAGCATTGCAGCAGGAGGCAGAGTAAGCAATAACGTGGCAAAGGTCACACAGCAGGGATCTCAATCCAGGTCTGGCAAATCCTAACACAGGCCCAAACCAGTTACAAGTTTCTGTGGTGTTACACTTCACAGTGGAAGCAGAGCAGTTGGTTTGACTCTGACCAGTAAACAGACAGATGAGAACACAAGCAACACCTGTTTTTGGGCAGAGCTGAGATTACTGAAGCCATGCTCATGGGCAGGAAGAGATGCCACCAGGTTCCTCTGCATTTGTCCTTCCAACTCGCCTATATCCCCACACTGAAATCTTCCAGCACATGGATTTCTCTTTCTTCAGGTGTTAGAGAAAGCAATTTAAAGCAGTTTAGTCAAAGAAACAATCCCTTAAATACAGCCGATTTTGTAAGTGTTCCAGTACTTTTGCACACACCATTTTACCCAAAGGGCTGAGCACAGGTCCAGCCCTGGAGCTGTGTGCACACAGCACACAGGTCAGCGTGATCTCACCACTTGCTACCAGCATGCTCCTCATCCTGCTCCATTCTTCTCCATTCTTTCTACCTAACACGATCCATACAGACTGTCTCTAGAAGGGATCAAAAACCCAAACTGAAGTGAACAGGCAATCTAGCAAACTTTTTACACATTTATTCTGCCTTCAGAAGGCTGGTCCACCAGACTCACCATGGGTGAGACCAGACTGACAAGGGGCAAAGACCACACAGACCAGCATCCTGCAAGGCACCACCTCCTGCTCACAGGCACAATTACAGACTTACTTAGGCTTGTCAACATAAGCCCAACCGACACAGAGAAGCAACTGCAAGGCAAGAGAGAGCTGGTTACAGGCCTGATTCTGCAACTACTGCATGCTGTTAGAACATCCTTGATGTTACAGTAGCTTATGCAACCTGTCCCAAATCTCAGCAACTGAATGACAAGTGTGATTTGGCTATGAACCCAGTGCAAAGGGATAGTACTATGTAAATAACCTGCTGTACTCACCAGGCACTGTACAAATCATGCTGAGCCTTGCGAGCAGCTGCCAGGCAAAAGCAGCAGAAAAAGGCTGTGAGATGACCCTCCACGGGGGGGGGGAACATCTGAAAGCCCACACGCTTAACTAAAAGCACATTAAAACATCTGTGGAAGAGACTCCCGCTGGGTGTTTGTCCCTCTGGATGCAACCCTCAGCAGAAGAAAACAAGTTTCTAAACAAAAACTTTAAATACAGCTTTTGAAAACTTGCCCAGACAAACAAAACATTAATGCAAGTTTTGGCCTGGTCTCCACTGCTTGGGAAATAACTGTAGCAGCTCTATTATTTCAATCACCACAAGCACAAGCATCTCCCTTCAGCATGCTCTGTCTCCCTTTCCGGCAGGGAAGGAAGGGTATGCAAGAGATCCACAAAAACACCATGTTGGTGTTTCCTCAGAAATAAGGACTGTAAGGGAAGAGGCTAATACAGGGAAGCTGCTCTGAAGAAGGAGCAAATTCTACACCTCAGGACAAGAATAGTACCCAGCTTCAAGGAAAGCAAGGACAAGTAGGTACTAAGGTACTTTCCTGCTGTAAAAACAATGAAGCTTCAAAACAGACTGTGTTCAAAAATCTCAATCATAGTCAGAAGTCTTTTAGGTCAGATTAGGCAAACATGAATGATGTAAGCCAAGTTGATCCTTACTTGGACAGGGAAATTATGCTAGATGACTGTTGAGCTCTCTTCCAATCCATCTAAAGCCCGCATCACAGAACTGGCTGCTAGCAGTACCCCCACACATTCATTCAAATAGCTCCCCAGAGGCTTCCTGTGCCACCTTGGCTGAGTCCCTCTGCATTTGCCAGCTCTGCACCTGGAAAGGGGTCTCATCCCTGCTGCACATGTCTTAGACTCTCTGAGGCTCTTAGGAAGTCCCTTCCACCCCACACTCTGTGTGGAACAGGAAAACACAGGTGGCACTTGCACTTCAGGATACCTGTAAGTTACACCAGAGCAAAGACAGATTGTCAAAAGCCATGGATCAGTGCAGCCCTGAGGGGGATTCAGGCCTCCCATTACTAGCACAGCTACAACTCCTGTATCACAGCCATGAGGACCCCTCCCAGCTTCCCTACACTAGGCCTGTACCACAGCACAGGAACGGAGTCTAAGCCCCACTTTGCAGCCATATCCACAGAGCCCTCTATGGAGCTGGGGCTGCACCCTGCCACACTGCCAGCACACAGGAAGCCTGTTTCCCACAGACACAACAGGCTAGGAATACAGCACCATCTGCAGGGCTCTGCCATGCACCAAGCTTTGCCTATCCCCAACTCAGAAGGCCAGCAAGGTCCTGGTAGGTACTTTGTACCAGGTCACTCTCCAGAAATACACACCTGAACCACACTCATCAAGGTCCTGCAGGAAAACGAGGCCTCTCTGAAAGCATCACTTCAGAAACAAATTGCTGCTTCAATACAGTTCCGAAGACCCACTAAGATGCCAGAAAATTAAATGCATTTTGATAGCGATTATGTAAAGCATCAGCCCTTCTGTGGCTCAAGGGAGCAGCTGCACGGCTGCAGAGAGCTGACGTGCACAGGAGATTGCTGGCATCAGCACAGCCTCGTGCTCACAGGCACAGGCAGCAGACACGGTCAGTGCTTTAGCGAGGGCTCTGGGAGTATCTGAGGTTCTTGCAGCTACCACATCCAAAGAGCTTCGCAGTGCTTCTGTACCAAAAGGAGCCTGGGCCAACGTGTGCAAAGTAGTGAAGAACACACTGTACTGCAGCAGCACATTCCCTCACATGCGGGTCTGACAAATCCCGCCTCTTGGGAGGAAGAATAATTTTTCTTCATTCTTGTCTTTATGAGAAGGTCAGCAGCATCATGTGATTTTCCAGAGACATGTAACCACTATGCAGTGCAAGCCCAGAGAAATGCAAGCATTTTGTTATTGCTTTTGCTATAAATATAGGAATTTAACACTTGTTCTACTGGATTAGACCAAGAGTCCATCTCTCAGAGGAAGCCTACTGCTGAGAGCTCCAACAAGTGCTTGCTCTGACAAAAGGTGGCTGCATCCTGCAGCTCAGCCAGCAGTGCTCTCAGAGGTGCAGCTACCTCCAGTCTACTGCTGGAACCAGCCTTCCCCTACAAAAATGCAACATGATGCTCTTTAACTCCCTCATATCAAAGAATCACAGAATGGCCTGGGTTGAGAAGGACCACAATGCTCATCCAGTTCCAACCCCCTGCTATGTGCAGGATCACCAACCAGCAGACCAGGCTGCCCAGAGCCACATCCAGCCTGGCCTTGAATGCCTCCAGGGATGAGGCAGCATATCACCCAGCTTCTAAAGCATCCTGCTGATGTGTTCACAGGCACAGGCAGCAGACACGGTGTTTATTAGCTCCGTTTCATAAATACTGTCAATGCTCATACAAAACATCTCAGAAATCAAAGACCTAAGCCTGACAAACTTAGCTAAACATGCTAACATATTGTTATTATTTATTATTATTTACTAAAAACAAACAAACCACCACAGCATCTCTCTGACCGCAATCTACTCTCACCACTGCCAGAATCAGTTGGGTTGATACTTGATTTCCAAACCTAGGATTAAGTACATTCTAACTGAACCTTTTGTCTCCCTTTCCACCCATTTCCTCTACTGTGATAAACCACAGCAGGTAGCACAGTCCAAAGAGGGCTCATAATTTCATGTACAAAGTTTATAGGATGGGAAAACTCCTGAGGCAAGCAGAGTGGTGGGATGGGATGAAAGGCCGGTGTATGAGCAGAACTGAAAGAACAAAGAGGGTGAGGAGGGGATTGAAGTGCAGTGAGCTGGGCACTGGTGAATCTGAAGTTCAGATACCTGCAAAAAAACAGGGCCAAAGCTTAAACATTAAGAAGTGAATGAGTGCAGCACAGACAGGAGGAAAGGGACTAAATGTATTAGCTCTCTGAATCTGCTTTGGCCCTTCAAACAGATACCAAATTTGCTGATGCAGGACCCATTGTTTCTGACTACACAGTTTAAGTTCAGCATGGACAGACTGCCTGACAGCACATCCCCTGCACACTCACACAGCACAGGTCACTTCCTGGACGCTTCATCTCCCTTCTCCCTTCCATGCTCACCTCCAGTGGCCCAGCAAATGTTTTCACTCAGAGTAATCCTTTGGTGTCTTTCTTTCTTTCCTTCACTGGCTAGCTACGGTCAAGAAGAGAACCTCAGAAACAGCAATGAGCAGCAGCAGCTTGGATTTAATCCTTCTGGTACTTATGTCACGATCTTGACCGTCAATTTCAGGGACTTTTCTCAGTGTTGTTTCAGACAACCGTATTCTAAGTCACCCTCCCCAACAAAGAAATGGACTTCAGCTGTTCCTGCGGGTGCCAAGAGACTGGGCCTTTCTTTAAACTTAGCCTGCTGTCAAATTTTGTGTAACTACTCTTTTTCCCCCACCTTTTTGACTTCTCCATCTCTGAAACTGGCCTTCTTTGTGAAGTCTCACATTTCAAAGCCTTACCTGGAAGTTAAGCATTAGTATTACTATCAGAAACAATTTAAGGATCCCAGATATTTATTCAGATCTGCTAGCATGTTTGAAAATTCAATTGGAAAGCATTTCTTACAAGACTCAATTTAATCTACACGCAACACTATCTTTATTATGATGGTTTTACTGGTTTTGGCAGCATCCACAAAGTGTCAGGTGCTGTAGATTTAGATAAATTCAACCAACACCAAGAGCTCCTTCCTCTTGTGTGACCCTTTACAGCCACAAACATGCAGTGAAATTATGTCAGAGAGTGGTGCTTCTCCAGTTGTGGTCCTTAACTGTCTATATAAAAGGCTTTCCCTTCTAGTCCAAATAAGTATATTCCAAAGGAAAGGGCTATCTGATCCACAGATTGTTGTCTATTCTCTTCGCAAATCCATCTCAACCCATGTATGAGCAAAATCACTTTATCTGAGCTTCAGAGCTCTATCTGTCCTAAGCAATTGTGGTGTAACATGTGAGCGATGTTTCAGTGACATTCAGCAGGACTAGGAAACAAAAGCTGCTTTGCTTTTGGTGAGCTACAGCAGAACATCAGGATACTAAAAAGAGACCTGAATTTGAAGTGTGCAGGTTAGTCATGTCCCATTCTAGAACTGCACACTCATGAGCTACTACTATAAGCTAGAGCTGAGACCATTATCATCCAGCTTGGTCATATTCTAAAATTTACTCAAGGTTAAAAATAAAAAAAAAAGGTGATGTTCTTCCTAGGCGAAATGAGTGATACGACATGTTGACAAGCTGTATTTTTAACATATTTCTTTGAAATTTGCTATCACAGCAAGGAAAGAGATTAACAAGTCACTTGAGCAGAGTGAACTAGAATTTCATGAAGTTCCCTGAGGAAGGTCAAACACTTCCAAACACTCTTGCGATCCTCTGCAACTCTAGATGAAGTCTGCGTTGGGAAATGAGGGGTCTGTCACTGCATGGAAAAGTCATACACTGGCAAATGGAGATTTCTTTTGTCACGTAGCTTTCATGAAGCCATTCAAGAAGGGCTCACCAGCAAAAAAGCTTACTGCAAGAAAGGACGTTGTTTCTGGTACAGTTGTCACCTGCTTCGCTTTTGGATGTGCAGAAACCTAGGTCTGTGGGAGAAAAATGAGCAGAGCTTTAAGTCTTGCTGGGGTGAACACGGTTCTACCTCCATCATATAAAGGTAGCAACTTTCCAATGGCAGTAATCTCATCAGAGCTAGTCACCCCATCAGAAATGCTTACTGTGACAGAATCTCTGAGTCAGAAATGCTTGCCAGATTATCTCATGATATCAAGAAAGTTCAGACAGTTGAAGAGTCCCTGATTTTTTAAAGGTTGGCTTCAGCTGCTGACTTTTTCTTGCTGAGTTTCATTCAGTATATCAGGATGCAGGGATCTAATCTATGCGAGACACAGTCATATACTTGAAACAAAAATCTGAATGTAAAACAGACTTACTTGCCACAGAAGTCCTTGTGAACAGCACGAAGAGTGAGAAGCAAGTCAGGATGTGCACATAGCCAATCCTCCACCAAATCAGGGTGTCTGGGATCCACTTCCAGAAACACACTCCTGAAAAGATGTGAGGAGATGCACATAACTAGGTTGCTAGGCTGAGAAAAACTAAAATCTTCCTTTACAGAACACTGCAAACCAATGATCTTAAAACAGACTGCAACTATCTATTTAAGACACAGATGCCAACTGCTTCCTTCGGAGGGAGAAAGTGTTGATCTAAAAGGAACTTTCAGGGTACTCCTCTTTGAGAGCAGTTATATCCTAGTACTGAGATGTGAGGACCTGTTCTGAACCCCGTGTAGGAATATCACCAGCTTTGTCTTTCTAATGCCCACAAAGATTCAAATTGGAGCAGGTTGTTCTATGATGCAAATGCACGAACACTGAATGCTGGACTGGCAACGTGGAGCTCCTTTGTATAAGCACAGTGACATTAAGTCCCAGTAGTGAGAGTCAAAGTACAAGTCAGTACGCACATTTTACAGCGATAATCATCTCCATAGATGAGTTATGAAACCACCACCAGGTTTCAGGTCATACAGTCTTACACATGACTGCACAAAGGAGCATGCAACAGGGAAAAGGGACCTCGTCAGACAGCTTCAGATAGAGCACCAGGACACAGCTTGGTCACAAAGGACCTTTTCCATCTTGGCTGAAGCCAGGCTTTGTGACATGGGCCCATTTCTGAAACTCTCCTCCCACAGCGAGGTGGAACCACCCTAGCTTACAGGCATGTGGAAATGGACTACAGCCTTTGACAGTTTAGCAAGATACAAGTTAAACAGGCAAAGCACAGAGGCCAAGCCCCAACCCTACACTCTCTTGAGAATTCCTGAACAGTCCCACACTGAACACTCCCTATAAATTCACCAAACTAATTACAAGCTGGGTGTGGTTCTCATTATTGACCTTAAAAGACTCCGACCCCGCAATGGGGACTCCACCTTATAAAACAAACACAAAAGGGACTAGGAAAAATATCTTACAGCCATCCCTATGGGGCTGATGTCTCCGGCTGGGAAGCCCTGGGGAGAAACTTCTGCTCTTGTGGCCGAGCAAAAAATAAGGAATTTATTCTTCCCATTGTGCTTCTCAGTACTCCTATTCCTCTTCCCAAAACAACAGATTTTCAACAATCTCTCTAATGCTATTAAGGCGAGGAATTTTCAACAGGATATGAGAATGCAAGGGCACAAAAGACATTTGGGTATCAGCATGTTGATTTTCGAGCATAAAATGGATCCCACATGACAGCAAATAGAAACCAATCAGTCTCAAGCATCCCTTGTGCAGAAATCTAACATTTAAGAAACGGACTCTGGCTGATTACCATTATTCTCCCAGGACATCCAGCCCTGACTCCTGGCACAACATACAAGCTTCCCCTAATTAAAGAATGAAACAGATCTACATCCATTCTCATAGAGCAGTGCATTGTTTTTCCCTCAACAGCTTTTCTGCTTGGAAAGCTTTTTTTTTGTGCTTCCTCTCCCTCCATTTTCTCTCTCACATTCTTTCTGTTGCTGCTTTGAGCTTTAAAGATCCTCATTTTGTTAACGACTATGAAACACCAGCACTGGTCAAAGAAGGCCTATATCCCTATATTAACAAATTTAGACTGACTTTGCTTATACACATCGCTTTTTTTTTTTTAAAATAAACAAACAAAAATACACTACTATTACTAGATTGGCATTTTTGCAGTTATTTTCCCCTGTACCATTCTGCATGAAAGAACAACACTAGTTACAGATATAGAGAGAAGATGAGAAATTCAAAAGGAGGACCATGCTCACCCAGAATCCTTCAGAAGAGAAGGAGCCAGAGTCAGAATTATTTTAATGACTCTCATCCCATCATCTCCCCCATCCAGTGCATCAAGGTCCTCATAGCTAGAGGTTGGAAATAAGGCATAATTAGCAATTCATATAGCATGAGCCATGTCCTTGAGCATACACTGCCCTGCTCCACAGGCAAAGGTGCAACTAATAAACTCCAGCCCAGTTATAGCAGGTGAAAGCACTCATTGCTTTTATGAGAAATACAGAGAGTAAGAAGGCTGAGAAACCCCAAGCTAAGCACAAGCAGAAAACACTCCTTGGACTCCTTCTTAAGACATTGAATCACTTGCATCCAGGATGATGGTTCCAACATACAGATATGTTCTCTCTGTGCTGGCTAGACAGGGAAAGAGTGGGTTGTACAGCAAAGGAGCACTTGCATTATTTCAACTATGCCAATAACCACGAACTAGCAGAACAAATTCAGATGCAGAAAATTCAGCCATTTTCAAGGACAGAATCCACTCCCCTACACATTTAGCATAGGGGTGAATATGGGACTCTGCCCTGACATGCATGACAATCACTTCTGAGGAAGGCCAGCACAGACAAAACAGTGCCACAACCCAAAATTGCTTCTTCGTGTGGGTTTGTTTGCTTAAGGCAAGTCTTGTGATTAAAATGGGTCACAGTATTTCCGCCTAAATTGCTTTCATCACAAAAAGCTGCTCTGATTAATTATTCTTACTTTCATAAACTCAAACCAATTGTGAAAAAAAAATCTAACATAAAAAATGTTCTGGAACAGTTCTGGATTGGAAATTTAGTAATCACAAAGTGTGCACTTCTTCCATTTTTATTAACACTTAAAATTGTTTCAGACTTGCAAGCAGTACCAAAGTAATGCTATACTATTGAATAACACATGAATACACCTACAGTTATGCACGTTTACTATATTTCCCCATTCTCTGTGCAAGTGAGTGTGCAATATAAAAAAACAGCCAGAAAGCTTTGCTTCAAGGAACAGAAGATGGAAAACCTTTGTGTTTGATTACCGGAGGATCTCTGCATCCAGGGAAGCCATGTCTTCATGGAAGACATATGGAGGGTTACTGACTATGAAGTCCATTGGGCCCCAAGGTAGCAGAAGTTTGGCAGAACCTAAAAAAGAATGACAATCAGCTCTCAATCATAGCAATTTTCCCTCTAAGTTCAATATCAAAATCTTATCCAGAAAACCGTCTCTCCAGGTACATGCAGATGTGTGTATGGTTCTGTTTCTCTCCCATAGAATTTCAACCCATTTCTTTTGGGGATAGCTGGACCTGGTTACCCTCCCACCCTGTATGCAAGATGACACGAAGATAAGCACAGGCAGGCAAAGTATCGTCTTTTTTTTTTTTTTGGACCAACAGCCCTGCTTAGCAGAATAGCTATCTTAGAATAACACAGGACCTTGATATCCTGGAGAGCTCAGAGCCCAACTGGATCTAAAGCAACTACTGGAACCTGACACATTACACAGACCTAATTGAGATTTATGACTAGCTGTCAGGATGCACATCCTTCCTCTTACCAGAGCTGATGAAGGTATTCTAACAAGCAGAAGAGCTACATCCTCAGCAGTACCAACCAACTAAAGACCTGCTTTTCTGCCAACAAGTTCAGCTTGCTATACTCATGCTCCTATCTGGACTGACATGTACCAGCCCTGACTCAGACACCATGCAATTCCATGAACATGGCACAGTCCTCAGGCCAGCCTTTCAGCACAAGGCTTACACACACAGGTGTGGTACCAACACAGGCTTCTGGACTGGACTGGTTGGCTTATTGCTGGAGCTCAAATTCGCAGACATACCTCTAAGCAGTAGTAGAGGGTCAAAATGAACAGTGTGAAAAAAGGTGCATAAATGAATCTGCAACACTGGAGCTCCTGGCTCCTCCACACCTCTTGATCAAGCACAACCTAGCAGACAACTACCAGGCTGGATAAACCTCACCAAAAAGCAGGAAAGTAAAAAAGGAAGAAACATGAAGGGGATTAAGACAATGAAAAGAGTTACCATATGAAACATTATGGTGGAGGATGTGGATCCTGTCTTGGAGTTGCAGCCTATGGAGAAAAGTTCAGATGTAAGGGCAGAAAGATTAGGAGTCTTGTCTGTGTGGGCTCATGAACAACACATCCAATAAACAGGTCATTAAGTATCGTTCTTCTTATCTGATACACGTATGTACTATCCCACTGACTGTCACTGGATTTTTCCCAAGCTGCAAGGAAAGTTTAGGAAGTGCTCTTTGTCTGAAGCAGAAAGCACCCTTGATGATGCATGGGCAGAGCTCCCACGCATCCAAAATACACCTATACATCACAGCAGCATTCTCCCCCAGATACATATTAATTATATCTAAAGGCCTCCCCCAGGTGAGCACAGCAGCAGAGAAAAACAAAATTAAGTGCATCAAATACGTAAATCTTACATGGTAAATGAAGACAACTTGCTCATGTTTGCCACATTCTCTTCCCAGCTTCTTTGCTGATTTGGATCTTAGCAATGTTCTAGCATCTGAGTGTATTTTTTAGGCACACGAGTGCATGAAGGTTATGAGACTGCACTGCACAGTAGCAGGAAGCCAGCACACAGTGCAGCACAACTGCTGTGACAGACATAGACCAGGAAGAGAGACTCCTATAGGGACAGCTCATGCACAGACCATTCAGTGCAATGCATTTAAAATATGCTGGGTTTCTCTGGTGCTACTTTCTAACTCATGATCTTTCTCATCCCTGACATGCCTGTGCACATTAATTTGGAAAATATGTTTTGCTCAGCACCTTTCATCTTCAACCAGACCTCCCCAGGGTGCTCACACTGGCAGAATCCCTGAATGTACTGGAGACAAAAACACCTCTCCCTTCACCTGTGACAAGAGAGCACGTAGGCAGGGAGGTTTGTTATTTTTAAGAAACAGGTCTATAAACACCTCACTATTTCTTTGGAAGAAATCTTGGCCGAGATTCTGATCTCTCTGATTTACTGACTCACTCCAAAGCAGAACAGCCTCCAGTCTGCCAGATTGCCATTGCATGGTTCTCCAGTCTGTCTCAGCCTGGCACAATCTAGCTCTAGCTCCCAGCTTGCAACAGAATATGATCCTTGCCAGGGACAGATCCCCTTAAACCATGGGTGTCCAACATTTTGGCTTGCCTGGGCCACACTAAGTAAACAGGAATTGTCTTAGGCACCATGTATGTAGGTCACTCTCACTCCAGAAGTAATGCTTCCTATTTATTTCCATGGAAACGACAACAGATGCAACAAGCACAGTAACAATACTTAATGGAGCAAATTCTCAGCTACAAAAAAACTATTTTTCAACGTAGTCTCCACTGTTAGCTCTGTATTTTTGTCAGCAGTTAACAGGAGCTTGCATGCCATACTAGTAAAAACCTGCACCAGTGGAGGTGACCCACAGATGCTGTTGCCACTGCTGAAACACACCACCCACTGCCTCACTGCACTCACATCCACTCTTTGGATTCTGTCAACGTTCAGCAAGTGTCAGTGAATGTCAGTGGGTCCCATTTTTTCCCACATGGAGGAATTCAATGACCCACCTTTACTTCATACCATTATGCTATTTTGTCAGACTGCCCCACTGCTGCTGCACAGCAACAAAATGTAATGGAATATAGGTGGGAAGGTCTAGTTCTACTGCCATACCACCAAGATCCACCTCTGATGTAGCAGGCCAACATAATAAAACAGGAGGCATTCCTTTCAGAGCAGCTCCCATAAAATGTATAATATAGTTAATAAGCAACAAAACTTGTTTCAATTTTCAATATTTTTTTAATTAAAACATTTAAAAAGGAGAACAACAAAACCATGAAACTAGTGGGATGTTTGACCTTGTTTGTGAAACTAACAGACCAGTCTGGTTCCATGGTAGTGCTTGCAATTCTTAGGTGTTTGTCTGAGATTTTTGATGAAATTTTATTTTTCTATGCTTCATCCTTGAAAACACTTCAGAAATGTATGTGCTGCCAAAAAGTGATGACATGAACAAGGCGTGACTGTGAAGTGAGGGATATTTCTCTCTGCTAAGATAGGATTATGAAAGTCCAATAGAAAGACACGATCAGATCTGTGTTGAATACCTGACTGCAACTCTACACAGCCATTTGAAAATTCACAGGCAACACATTTATGTTGACTGAAAACAGAGTTATAAATATACAAAAAAAAAAGCCAACACTTTTTTGCAACCTTGAAACCTGTTCTCAAATTCCTTGATCACAACAGAAAGCACAGCTGCCTATTTTTCACTGTTCACGGGACTGTATGTAGCCAATACATCAGAATGCACATATTTGCCATCCCTGCACTGCGTCCCGTGTCCTGGTTTCAGCCCAGTCAGAGTTAGCAGTGCACCCATGTTTGGTTGTTAAGTGAGGCTGTGCACCAGGCTGAGCTGCCCAGCTGATGGCTGTAGTTTGAGCTGCGCTGGTCCACATGCAGCCTATGGGCTAGACATGCCTGCCTTAAACCCCTAAAGCCACCTTGACACTCCTGGAACAGTAAAGAGATGCCAGTTTGAAAACTGCCTTGGTGCTTGGTCACAGCCTGATTACAAGAGAGACCAAAGAAGCAGAAAGAATGAGGCAGCAAAGAAGGAACATAAGCTCGGATTCCCCAGCTATGCAATCTGCCCATCAAAATACCTCTCTTCTCATGAATTTTGCCTCTGGCTTCTGAGAAGACGTTTGAACAATGACAGAGAATGCACTTAGTCAAGCTAGAGAGACAATGTTGGGCAAGAACCGCTGGTGGAGAATGACTCCATTCCACCCACAGGGGATGCCATTCCCTGACTGGCAAAAGCAAATAGAATTTGCCCTGTTACAGCCAATGTCTAGAGAGTCCTCTGACAAAACTAAAGCTCTTTCCAATATGCTGTCTCTTCCTGGGAGAGACCCACCACGGTGACAGATTTTTCCTTCCAACTCTTCAGTGTAACATCTTAGGGCTACCCAAGCAAGGAAGAGAGCATGGTGCAACAAAGCCATTATACCCAAGTCCTGTTTGCTGAGGGCCTTTGGTACTGCCTCATCAACAACAGGAGCATCAAGAAATAAAAGGATTTCTGCAGCTACCCACAGCGTACGTAGATGGGTAATTTGGCACTGGTATTGATTCAGTGCAACCAAAACTTTACTAAGCATTCCTCCCTAAGTAACACAGCTGTGGTAAGAGAGCTGCAAAAAGGCAGAAACCAAGCTGGCTTCAGCAGTAATACAGCTTATCCTACTGGCTTCTCTTGCAAGATATGCAGGGCACCACGCCACCAACAAGAGAAGCATTTGCTTAATGAAAATATCTATTGAGAAGTACGAATTTCTCTGGCAATGCATTTACACTCCCCATAGCCATCCTTGAGCCAATAAGCAAGGATACTATGACACATTTTCCCATGTGCCAGAACAACACTCTACCAAGAAGGCAAAGATCTTGCCTGTTTTTAGTATGATCTCTGTAAAACTGCAAGAGAACTTGGTCTGATACTCATATATACCAGAAGGATCTGCTGGCTACTCCCCATAACTGTAATAGGAGGCACAGTTTAGTAGTGAGGTGAAAGTGTGCGAAGGGTTTGTTTCTACCATCACCTCAGAATGGTGAAAGATCTGCAGCTGGCTTGCAAGAAGTGGAGAGACACAGCTCAGGACAGCCAGAAACAGAAGCAGCCTGCCTCTGTAACCACTATGCCAGCAGCAGCTTTAGAAGAAAGAGTACACGGGCCCCGTGGACAGTAACATCAGTTAATGAGTATCACTTTTAAGACTCATAGGTGTACCAGACTCCAAAAAAGGTAGCAACAGGAAATCCTCCTAAGACTGCTCAAATTCATGCTCAGAGATTCCTGAGAATACAAATGCATAGTAGAGTTCTGTACGTTTCACAGTCTCCAAGAGACTGGAGTTCTGGACTGAAAAAGGACACAGATTCTAGCTGTGATGCTCACCAAGACGGTGACAATCCAGAACAGCCTGCAGTAAGCAGAGCTTAAGCCTGTGTTAAGCTGAGCAATCAGATCTGTTGCGGAGGACAAGGTTATCCTGAGAACTGTTCTGCATTAGGTACAAGGTGTTTGATTCAGCAGGTCTCAGCACCCAGGCACAGCACAGGTGTGTGCGCACAGCAGCACCCTTCTCATCAAACCCTAGGCTACAAGGAGGGCACTGAGGGATACCATGACAACAGAGTGAAGAGTGCAAGCTTATACCCAGAGGAGAAATGACAGGAACAAGCATGGCAGAAATTCATGTAGGAAGCCAAAGAGGGAAAGGTTCATACTATACCTGTCCTCAACCTCTTAAGTGACACAGATGTTCTTACCTCTTGGTACTTAAAAGTTTACCGTAGAAAAGAGTAAGAGTAGTGACCGTGAAATGCTTTGAAAACTCTTGGAAGACAGCATTTAAGTACTACTGACTTATTTAGGCTGCTGCCTTTGCAAAGTGCATTCACAAGTGAAAGGAAAAAAATCCTCTGGTAAATGTAAACTTTTTTTTTCTTGAATTCTTACACTCTTTGGGAGCTCAAATGATTAAAAATACTCTAGTTTCCAGTGGTAATAAACGTGAAACACACAATGACCCCTGGTCATTTCACACAGAGGGTGGTGAGGCACTGGAACAGGTTGCCAAGGAGGTTGTGGATGCCCCATCCCTGGAGGCATTCAAGGCCAGGCTGGATGTGGCTCTGGGCAGCCTGGTCTGCTGGTTGGCAACCTGCACATAGCAGGGAGGTAGAAATTGTGGTCCTTTTCAACCCAGGCCATTCCATGATTCCCAAGTAACACTTTACAAGAAATGGGTAATATGCGAGCTTGTACCTATGTACGTTCTCCCTTGTGAGATCCACAGCAGTCTCTTCTTTATCCACAGCTAACACTCGGCTCTGGGACAGAAAAAACAAACAGCAGTATTACAACACCACAGCTCCTGAGCAGACAAGCTCTGCCAGAAAAGACACGCAAGATAAAACCTTCCAAATGACTGCTCACTCTTGGCTCCTCAAAGGAATAGCTCATCTCAGGGCACTGATGGGATGACAAATCACTTCTAGAAAGACAGCTAACATGACAGAAGGCACTCTGCAACAATGCCAGCATTCTACCAAAATAGACAGGCTTCTGACCAAATCAACTCAGCTGACAACAATGCAGTCATGCTGACTCATAGCACCTGATATGTTCATAGCTCTGAAGTAGTGTGAGACTCAACACTCCAGAAAGCCAGAGGCTGAAGTGGACACAAGTTAAAGGAAGATCACATCCCCAGACTTCTCCTTTTTAGTGTGGATGGAGTCCCTCCAACGCTTGAGCAGAGGTTCTAGCATTTTCCACCCGTTAGGCAGACACACTTTGCCTAGTTATTACACTGCAGTCATTACACCATGTTTACTACATGTATTGACAGCATGTCAACTATTGAGACCATGTCAACTATCTGAGAATTCTCTGGTGTAACAGTATGCGACAGGACTCTGTGGTTAGAGATATGCTTGACCTTCTATCCCATTTTGGGAAAAGCAAAAGCATAGGCCTGACATGTTTTTGTTTTGCTAGACATTTTTTAAACACTTGTTGCTAAGCATTTATATACGGAAAGCATAATGGTGGTATGCAGTGTAACAGCCCATTAGGGGGATTCATTTCACAGCGTGAAACTTGCGTCCTCACACAGACAAAGCTGACCCTGAACACAGAGGACAGAGTTGAAACAATAAATGAAATGCTGCTGGTGTTTTCTCTTATTCACTACTAGCAGCTTGTGCCTCAAACATTAAGACATCACAAAGAACATAAACTCTAGTTAGCTGTCCGTGTTACTACCATTCACTCTATTCAGCCAAGGCTCTTTATTTCTCTGGGCACAGCAGTTTGTGTTAGCCAGCTGGGAAAGGACTACTAGCAGTAACAGTGACAGACTGGCAGAACTGTTTAATCTGACAGGAAACTAAGAAGTGTGAAGTACAGCTCAGAAAATCAGAGTAATTTTACTTTGAAGTCATGAAGCCCAACTATTAACTCCTGCATCAACAGGAGAAGGCACCTACCTCTGTAACTAATGCACCAAGCCTCACTCTCTCTCAGAGGGAGGACTGGCCACAGCAATTCTTGCTCACGAGAAGTTGACTTATGAGTAAGTCTGTACATGATGAGATCTTGGCTTCATTTCTTTTTTTCTTTTTACTTACCGATAGTATCTCATTAAGCCTGTTTCATGCCACAATAACCAGAGGCAAAAACAGCTTTGGCTACCCAGATTTCTGTCCCCTTCTTGCTTTTTTTGCTTTGTCAAAAGCTGGGGGCTGTTATCATGGAACAAAAGGCTTTAGAAAAACGGCTTGGCAGTTGAGGCAGTGTGACATCTGCTAATCATATTGATCCCAACTACTGATGCTTCTGCGAGAATCCCTCTTCTGTACTGATTTGGTCTTCAGTCTCACAAAGACAAGATTTATTGATTCACAGCAAGGTGATTTTAGAGATGACTGCCCCATAAATTTGACTATTCGAGTGTGCACCGATGCCTCAGTCACTCGCCCACAGCCCAGGATATGAGCTTAAACAACCCTCACCACAGCTTCAATCTAAGGTGATTAACAGTGAGTTGTGACAGCTGGAGAATGAGCACATTTGCTTCTTTCCTTCTGTCTTTATTACTCCTGCAGACAGTTGGAGAAAGCAATTCCTAAATACTCTCTCTACCTAAAATGAACATACAGAGTCTCATTGTCAAAGACAGCAGCTGCTGAAGTAGCAGCTAAGTCCTGTCACGTCAAAGAAATGTGCTTTGAAAGTCTCAGTGAAGTCCAGTAGAGCAGAACTGTCCTTTTGCAATAGTATTTTCTGTACCATGAGCATATTAAAAAGTTCACCTGTGGTATCTTGCACAGGAGACTCAGAGCAATTGCTCCAGAGCCACAGCCAACCTCCAGGATCACAGGAGATGGAATAGCAACTGACAAGGCTGAATTCTTCGCCTCACATTTCCGAGATTCTTCCTCCACAATCAAAGAGATGAGATCCTAAGAAAACAAAGATAAACACTGCTATGACTTTGCGATAAGGGAACTGTTTTGACTCTGAGGAGTGAAGAAATTAAAATTTCTTGGGTCCATAGCCTAAAATGTACTTGTTTTGCTGATTTTTAGAACACAAATGACAGTAATAGACCTGACAAGAAGTCATTTAAGCTTCATCTCCCCCACAGGGTGCTTTGACGAGTATCCTGAGGATTTTGTTACGACTTCCCAGAGATCCTCTGAGGTCTTCTAGCACTGGGAAAAACAGTAACCGAACAGCTGGAGCACATTATCTTCTGTAAAACCATTTTATTTACACCAAAATTCCAGCCATTAGTACTTGTAGGCTTCAAAATTTAATACTTCTAAACTTCTAAGTAATCTAGAGACAGCCATGCAGCTCTGAACAACATCTTAATCCAACCTGCAGATGAAAAGCAAAGGCAGAGAATTAAATGACCCACACAGTGAGTTCCCTGCATGGATTTCAGATTGTGGACTCCTACTACATTTTGTTGTTGCACAGAAAAGACTTTCATCCCCGCTTCTTGAGCCCTATGCACCTCTGCTGCCAACGTCCTTTCTCTGCCATTCATCTAGTTTTTAAATCTCATAGCAACATCATGTGAAATCCAGCACAGCAAGAGACTTAAAGACACACAGTTCCCAGCTTTGAGACACTAGTTACTACAGACAGTACATGTGCCTCCCTCACAGCATGAACTTCTCTGGCTATTCATCAGAGAAAACTACAAGAGAAATATAAACACCTTGGATGTGTGAGCACTTATAACTCCCTGAGATCCTTGTTCTTTCATGGCCCAACCATATAGAAAGAAAACAAGGCCTTACTGCCCAAGCTGCTCCCACAATGGCTAGGTTATTCACTTAAGAGATTTGCTCCTATAAATCCAGAAAGCCTAACAGGTCACAAAGAATTGGCTTGATTTTACCAACCGGTAAAATGAAAGACTTTATGAAGAAAATCATGGGCCTTCCTTTTACATGTTCTTGGCATAAGCATAAATATCTAAAAGCAACATATCCTGACAAGCAAGTCAGCTTCTCTTTAGTACAGCAGTGGCTTTTTCCAGGAGCTGAAGTCAGGTCTGCTTGTACATAAGAATATAAGCCCTTCTTTGGATATATCACCCAAGGTTTGGTACAGTGAAACAGATGTTTGTACACAGGTGTGGATTCTTCATCAAGACAGCTGCTGCTGTCAGTCGCTCGCCCTTCATGTCAGGCTGATCTGCATCCGTGGGATGTAGTGAGAAAGGCTGCAATCAGGTGTAAAAATACAAAGCTGGTGTAGATGAGCTTCTGTGGAAACATCCCCAGCAACAATCCCTGAGAGACATGGGCTGCTTTGTCAGGTGGTATTTTTTTGAGACGTGCACAAAACATGAATTACTCTTCAGTATAATAAAGCACTGTGCCCCTTCACAGAACTGCAACTTGCACTGCTTCACAGATCTAGATAAGAAACGTGTTTAAACACTGTCCTGCCCTAGGAAAGCCAAGCAGCTTTGAAATGATTCTGCTTTTTTAATACAACCCTGTGCCTGAAAGCATAAGCAGAAAAAAAAAAAAAAAAAAAAAGATGGGGTTTATTTGAATATGTAGACACTCTGCATTTCTCCCAGTAACATTACTTCTTGTTAGATCAGCTTCTGAGCTGTTGCCATTTCCAGTCCATCTGCTTCAGGCTTTCCTTTTTTTGCAGTAGTATGGCCCTGCCAATATTATCCTTTGGGGAGTCACTGGGTCCTTGACCTTCTCTGGGCTACTTTTCACAGCCACAGAGTTTTGAAGCCTTTACGGGGCTTTTTAGCAACAACCTCCTTCAGCTGTAGTCATCATTTTCTTTCAAATTTCTGCAGTCATTGAGCTGGAACAAGTCAGGGATGCCCAGGTCTTTACTCACCAGATAACAACAGCCTTTGTTCTTCTCCAGCCTATGCCCTCTGCCTTCCAGAGCTCACAGCAATGAGAGCAATTGTGCTCCTACTTGAAACCAAGAGGGAAGGGGTAGCAGAGGGAGCTACACTGTGATCTCTCAGGGCTGCATCTTCACTGCACTGTTCAGCTTGGGGCCCAGCCCTGCTGGTGGTTTGACCAGATAAGAGGTGCCATACAGCAGTGCCCTGCCCTCATTACCATGCCTCAGAATCACATCTTCCTTGTTGCTGCTCTGGGATTCTTTTCCATACAACTGTGGAGGAAAATATTCCCATAGGACTGCAGGAAACTGTTAAGAGGACCACCAGCATTCAGACAACATGGAAAAATAAACACCATATCTATCCACTTGTGTGTGAAAGTGGCTTTTGCATTTCAGCTAGATGAATCAGTTTGAAAATACTTCTGAAAATGAGGACAGGCACAGATTGCAACCACAGCAGGTGCTGATGATTCCAAGACCACAGAAGAGCCATTCTGCTTGGACACTGAATTGCTCTCAAACGCTGCTCATTTCTGAAGTGAACGCTGGTCACTCTGAAGTATTTCCAGGAAACTCTCTGCACTAGCTCAGAAGAACCATCCATCTCTCGGGTTGGTCACGGAGGGGCACAAGTTACTGATTACAAAATGTTCACATGCAACTTCCTTAAAGTAGAACTACTGTCAGCATTCATTAACTTCATTAAGGTTTATTATTAGCAATTTCAAGCTTGGAGTTATTATGGAATTTCTGCTTCACATGCTCCACAGTAAAAATAATTTGAGAGCGCTTGCCAAAGTGAGCTCTGTTCAAATACAATTGACTTCAGTTTTTACCACATGTATACTAGAAAAGGGATATTGATATAATTTCAGCATCGTATCCTCCTTGACTCCCTTGCCTTATTGTCTTGGTTATTTCATATACTTTTCCAAAGCAATTTCCCTCATAAGAACTATGTTTATTGCAATAGTTTAAAATTAAAAGACTGTATTAAAAGTAATGTGACAAACTAAGAAACTACTTCTTTTTTCAGCCATTAGTATCTCACTGCAGTCAAAGAGTTCAATAATTATGGAACTATTTTATGAAATAAATTCAGCTGAGAACAAACAGAAGGTATTTGCTAACCTGCACATCAGGAAAAAGGAAATTACTAGTATTGTTCATTCAACATTGTATTAAATTTGTAACTATCCATGTATTAAAAAGAACACAAAACAATGTAGAAGAATAAGACATTTTAGAAATCCGCACTAACTGGCTGTGATACTAACTGTTCTTTCCTTGACTTACAGCTTGCACAAGAAAACCAAACTTCTCCAAGCATCTGTAAAAGAACCGGGCAACCCAGCAACCACAATGCAGAGTGGGTCCAGTGAGCATGCTGCCATGGCCACCAGCTCTCCTTTACAGAAATCACGAGCGACTGAGCTGTCCAGAGCTGTTTTAAAAGTGTTCTTCAGATGATTTTGGTATTTTTCCATCTTCTATGAAGCAATTTAGTAAAAACCTGTGTTTCCTCAGTCCTCTCAAGATGTGACTTGAAATTGATGAACTACTTCGCAGAATGTTGAGAGATAAAGTACTTCTGGGCACACATTCCTGCACTCATACGTAGGGTACAAAACACCATACCAGACAGACACCCCCTATTCTGCAGAAGAATCTGACGAGGGCCACACATAGGGAAAAGCAACCAACAGGCAGAAGATGCTAAAAAGAAAAACTGGAACAACAGCAGATGGCCAAAGGCTGCGGTCTTTGCTGCGTGGGATACACTACATCATCTCCAACTGAACAGTTTCAGACAGCAAACATCTGCTAACATAATGCCAACATTGCTTAAAGCCATCTTAGCCCTCAGCTTAGTCACCAGTTCCAAAGATTGAGATGAAATCAGAAATTCCAATGGGGAAAAAAAAAATCATTTTGACAGTCTGGCACATTAACCTTTGGAATACGTTAGGTAAGCTCTCCACAACCTGCCACCCTACACTTGAAATGGCAGGACAAAAAGGCCTACTTGCACTCACACCACTTTCAAGATTGAATACATCAGAGAAATATCCCTCACTACCGAAAAATGCTCATTTTGATTAAAATACCCAAACAAACAAACTTCACTGATTTTACAGCATCTAAAACCTTGTAGCACAAAGTGCCTTGTCCCTGAAAAATACTGTTAAAAAAATAACAAAAAACAAACCAAGAAAGTGCTGTGTTAAGGAACAAATAGAATTGTACATTAAGAAAGTGTTTGAGAAAGGTGACCTGATTTCATATTTACCCACAGCACACTAACCACTGTGGAATTATTAAAATACGAATTGTTGCTTACAGTATGTGTCACTGTCAGTAGCAACACAGCCTACAATGAAAGTCTTGCTAAGCAGTGCTACAGGTACTGGCAGAAGCATTTCTGTCCTAAAGCGTGGTATACACATGAGGGTATAACAGTGAACCACTGCTGTCCTTTGAAGCAAAGCTTAGGTATGATTAGAACTGCCCCATAGCTGTCCTCTCCCCCAGAGCTTGCAGGATTGCCATGCATCTTTCCAGGGTACACCTTCAAGTGTCATCATGCTCTGGGGCCTATGTCATCGGCTACAGGTAGGCAGCACCATGACAGCCTGAGCAACAGGCTAGGCTGAGGAACAGGGCCAACTTACAGCTCTGCTTACTTGTGTGAATAAATCCCAGACTCTCTGCACATTGCAAGTTTCTTCATATAGGAGAAGAAACAAACAAAAATAAAATCAAGAAAAAATATCCTGAAACAATGAACTTCTCCCACATCTTCTATGATTTTGTGCAAATAAGTATTAAGGAGGGCACCCAGAGCACCAGCTACCTCCAGAAACGACGCATTCATGAGTGTGGTAAACTGGGTGCGAAGCAAAATATCTGGAAGGGTTTTTACAGTGCACTGGTCTGAAGGTGATGCAAGCATCCAGGGATTTGTTTTCAGATGTATAAATGCTCTTGTTTAGCACGGAGTGAGGACAAGCTGGCAATATCTAAGCATTATGTACCTTTGTCAGAAGAGTATTTAAAA